ATAAGGTGGGGGCTCGTTTCTCCCCGCGGTTTCTCCCCGCGCACCTGAACCGACTCATCCCCATCCCGTAACATCAATCCAGCGCCCCAGACCGCGGCCCGCGTTAGAAGGAAACTTATTTTCGGTGGACACTAAAAATCCCCATCGCCCAAGACCCCGCTGTGTTTACTCCATCTTTCCTCCCTCCTGCCCTCCGCGTCCTGCTTTCTCCTTTTTTATTATTATTTTTTTTCCACTCGCCGTTTTCAATCCCAGCCGCCCTGTGCAGCCCCCAAAACCCCGCAAGAGTCAAGGCGAAAATGAAAAGTTTCCCAGCTCGCTGCAGCGCAAGCTCCAGGTTCCGGGCACAGCTGGGCGAAGTGGTCGGGGGGACGGCAATTATTTTCAAACAAACTTTTGGCAATAGCATCTCTAAATACCCTTGAGGGTTTCTCCCCCACACAATTTCCCCCCTTTTCCCCCATTTTTTTCTTTTTTTTTCTTTTTTTCCCGGGCTCAGAGGGGAGCGCGATGCGCGCGGCCCGTCCGGGTCCCCGCCGGCTCCCTAATGCCCCGCTCGCATCGCCCAATTTGTTTAATATCTCGCCACGTAGATCCTGCAGATTAATTCGATTTCACAGACCCCAAATTAAAAAAAAAAAAGGGAAAAAAAAGAAAAAAGAGAGAGAAAAAAAAGACGGCAAGAAGCGGGGGAAGATCAGCTGCATAATTTGCAGAAGGGCTGGAGGGGGCGAGGGATGGCTGAGACGAGGGGCTACTTTTCTCTATACAAAGACAAGTCGTTTGCAGAAATCGCCTGGCGATTTAATAAGAATCACGCAGCACTAATTGCCAGTGGCTCGGCCGCCGCTCCGCGGGGCTGTCATCGCGCCGCAGAGCCCTCGAGTGGCCCATTTCACATTCAAGAGGTGCTAAAATCGGCGGCCGCTCCCCCGCTTCATTATTCGCAGGCATGTTGTGCAAATATTGTTGTAATCCTTTGATCCTTTCCCTTGCCGCCTGTTTTACTTCATTTGCTACAGAAAAGCACTTGAGCAAATCCCTGCGGCTTGTGTGTTTTGCAGCCGCCGTGGCTGGCCGCGGGTTTGAGTTTAGCCACTTGAGCACGGCCCGTATGAATCCCGCGTGTTTAATACATGCGGAGAGCAGGGTCTTACTCTAATTTTGCTTTTTAAAAAAAAATAGAAATCTTTTTCATTTTTTCCCACTCCGCAGAGATGCTGCGAGCGGCAGCGCCGGGCGCGCACAAAGGGCCAAACAGCCGGCTCGGGACGTTGGTGCCGAGCTGGGGTGACACTCAGGGCCGGGACAGCCACGCGGGCAGCTCTCCGCAGCCCCGAGTGCCCCCCTGGCCCCGCGTCGCTCCCCCGCGTGTCCCCGAGAGAGGCCACCCCGGGCGGGCGCCGCGCAGCTGCCCGCGCCGCCAGCAGCTGCGGCCGCTTCTCGCCGGGGAAAGTTGGAAACAATAAAGTTTGCTGGGTTATTCCCCCCCTTCCCTCTCTCCTTTCGTCTTCGGAGGGGAGAAATTCGGACGTTTGCCGGGGAGGGGGAAAAAATAAACATGAGAACCTGCTAAAAAATGTCAGCGGCTGCGGAGAACTAATTAAAAAGGGGGAAAAATAAAGGAAAGCGGAGGCGGCGCGGACGGGGAGCAGCGGCAGCTGCCGCGGGAAGGGAGCGAAAACCCGGCGCGAAGTTGAGCGCCCGAGCGCGGAGCCGCGCGGACTTCGCGTTGCGCTCGCCCCCCTCCAAGCCGCCTCGTTTTAATGATTTCCTTAATGAAGAGGCGCTTAATGAGCGCGCCGCCCGCACGTACCTTCCAGGGGGAAGCCGGTGCGCGGGTAGTTCTGCCCCGGCGCCGGGCGCATCATGCGCGGCACCGTGCCGGGCAGCGCGGCCATGGCGCGGAGCGCCCCTCGCCCAGCTCCGCCAAGAAGCGCCCTCCTCTTCCTCTCTCTTCCTCTCTCTTCC